CTTTAATGCATGCATTTGTCTAATTCATGAAAAATAAATTTAAATAATTAATAAATTAAAAAGAAAATTATGTTTTATATTATAGATATAAAATATTAAAAAAATTAAGTATTCTAATAATACCTCTCAAATGGATAAATCCAATGAAATTGCACTGGTCCCGCCACCTTGGCTTCATAAGGAAGGTGGATTGGTAGATGCTCCATCGAATAAAAAAAAGGAGGGAAGAGTCTTTCAAGTTGGTATATTGTTTTAACAATCTTAATATGCCAAATCTCCACAGTTGTATCATGAATGTCTAGAGAATATAAGGCTTTGAAAAACTCATTGATCTCAGTAAGTGCTTCCCAAATTTGTTTTGGGAGAAAATCGCGGAATGTAATTGGAAGGAGACTTTGCATGAATATGTGGCAATCATGACTTTTTATCTCGTTAACTTTTGCCTTTTGCATGTTCACACACCAATAGATGTTGGATGGAAAACCATCAAGAAATCTAAGGTTCTTTAGCCATTAACACACTGATTTTCTCTGTTCCCTATTTAAGACAAAAGTGGCCTTTAGTTTTTTACCCATATTAGAGCCTCTTTTTAATATACAAAGACTTGGCTGATTGCAATACAATTCCATATCCATCATTGCCTTCAAGTTGTCCTTTTTCAATGGGTTATCCATGATGGTGTAAAAGATATTATCAAAAAAGTTTTTTTCACATTGCATTATATCTAAATTATGACGGATTAAGTTTGTAGTCCAATAAGGAAGCTTCCAAAATATACTTCTTTTAACCTAGTTATGCCAATTACCAAATAATCATACATCAAATTTAATTAATTGTTAAACATATTTTATAAACTAAAATTAAAAATTACTATAATTAGTGTTATTATAATTTATTAATCAATTAATCAATATGATCATTATTTATCAATCAATATTTAATCAATATAATCGTAATTTTATAATTAATTAATTGATTTAATTAATTATAATTTAGTTATCAATTAAATTGTAATATCCCAAAATTTTGGGGTATTTTAGCATTAAATTGGGGACTTATTTGAGGAAAAATATTGTTTTGGGGCTTAATCGTAAATTTTTAAAAAGTTGAGGGACTAAAAAGAAAGGAAATTAGGATAAGGATGAATTGCTTTTTCTTTTTCTTTTTCTTCCTTTCTTTCCCTCCCCATCAGACCCGCGTGCCCTGCTCTTCCTCTCCCCCGACCCTCTGCACCCGACGAGCTCCCCCGTTACCGCCACCCATTTTCCGGCAGGAAATCCGGCAAAGCTTGGGGATTTCTCCCTATTTTCTTGTCTTAGAACACCTGTTGAACCCAGAAAATCTCAGATCTGCGTCTTCCTCCCTCTGCTGTCCGTCGGCTGCTATGTGGGTGTGAGGTTTTTGGGCTTTTTCTGGTAAGATTTAGCCATGAATCCCTCTCTTTAACTTTGATTTAGGCTGGGTTTAGTTTAATTGCTTTTGTTTCCTTCCAATTTTTGGGTAGCCACGAGTTCCCCTGCAGAATTTCTTCTTCTCTGTCGTCGGCTTCTACCCCCTACTAGGCTCGGTTTTGCTTGCTAAATTCTGGTAAGTAGCCGTCTTTTCCAAGCTTAAAATGACCCATTTAATGGCTGGGTTTTGTCCATTAGTTGATGCTCTGTGTTGTCCGAATCTGCTGGGATAGTGGATGAATTTGGTAGCCCTTTTAAATGTGTTTTAAGCTTGA